GGTTTGACTCCATCTTGAACACAAATCATACGTTATATTATTACATATTTCTGTAATAGATTTACCTTTAACATTCTCTTCAAAATACATACAATATAAACTCAGGTAATAAGTTACTCAAGGTTCACACAACACATTATGAGCGATATAAATACACAGAGTCACACTTCTTAGCTGTTAGTCCTGTTATTATGTCCTGCTTGTATTTTAAAAAGGAAAAATAATTTAAAACAGGATGAACTAAGAAGTCTCTGACCTGGTAGGAGAACTTGGGTTGCAGGTCCTCAGACTCTTTGGGAGTTCTCAGGTCCTCCAGACTTTTAGCCAGTGTAAGTAATTGGTTGTCAGGCTCATCCTGGCAGCCAAAAATGTCCCCAAGCAGACTGATATTAGAGAACCTTTCAGTAACTGGACTGGGAGGGGCCGTGTGGCTCTCTGCCCCAAACCCAGGATCGTCTCCTTCTATCAAGTCCACTTCCTTGAGGGAGCGGTATGGCTGTGGCCTGCAAATACAGTCGTATTAAGTTCTCTGCATGCACTAGAGGTCATCATACTAAACATGTTTTCCCAAACAAAGACCACAAACATAAAATTCAAATATGAAGCCTAAATTTTAAAATCTTGTGTCTTAACATGCTGTAAAGGCTTCACTAAAAATGGAGCATGAGGTAGGGTTTAACCCTCACTTCATGAAATCAGTAGTATTAGGATGTTAAAACAATCTTCTCATGCAAGATTTTTCCTTTCCTGAACATACTGCCAGAGCTAAAAATGCACAGTTTCACAAGACGACACCATAAAAGCAGCAAAAGCCATCAGAGAAGTGCATACAGAGGTGACCAATCAAAAGGGGCGGAGAAGAGATAACTGTCAGGAAACCCAGAGATGGAGCTGTCGTCATATTGAAGCTCGTCTCCTGATGAATCCTCAGAAAGAAAGACTGTATAGTGACGAGTTGGACGGATAGAACTAAAGTGAAGAGAGACAGCAGAAAACCCACACCCACGCATTCATTAGTACATTAAAAGGGTTAAAAAAGAAAGGAGAATTCAGGAAAAGCTGAGAATCTGAAAGGTTAGTACTAAAACACAGTTATAATACATGAAACTACTGATAATGTGAGTAAAATAAAAGCAGCGGTGCAGTTAGTTCATATATTAAGCAGCTGTATAGAAAACACTTATCTAGCTTTTTTCAGCAACTGAAAAAAAATGGCTACATCAGGGTTATGTCTGTTTGTGAACAAATCTCAGCAATCAAACTGCAAGTATTAAGATATTAACATAAATGATTTTCAAACACTTCTATTTGAGTTTTAAAATACATTCCTCCCTACTAATAAAACTGGATATCAAAGTAATTGCATGGCTTTTCTGTGGCATGAAACCAAAAGTAGTGAGTTCTGGGTAAGCAACAAAGATAAATAAAGTAGAATTTCTACACAGATAATAAAGACGACTGAATGATCTGCAGAATTTATCAACATCCTTTATTACTTTAACCTCTTAAGACCTGGAGACACATAAATAACAGGAAATAAATAAAGAGTGGACAAAATTTAGTTTCAATTCAATTAAAATTTTCAAGATTCAACACATTCTGCTGGCTTCTTTAGATTTATTGTTTTTCATGATCAGTACCCTGAGACTAAGTTTGTCGAGATTTGGCGTTATATAAATAAATTGAATTGAATTGAAAATGCGTGCAAAGCAAGCGCTTCAGGTCTAAAGAGGTAAAGAAATCCATTTTATCCAGAAAACTTCAAATATCGAGTTTTGCTCTTGAACCAACTCCTCTGTCATTAAGAAGTTTTCCAGTTGTATACATGTGATCGGTGACATCAAACTGAGGATTAGGTAGCTGCAGTGCATTGCCTAAAATATTTGCAACAATTGCGTTTTGTCAAAATATAATGAATAAATACCTTATCTAGCTGAAATATAAACTTACAGAAATTTTTGATGCCCTTTTTTAAACAGTACGTATAAAAATATGATTTTGATTTTATATTTGCTCTGTAAAGCTCGTGTCCTATCCATCTGGAAAATCTCAAAATCTAAACATCTTTTTAACTTTCCTCTTTAAAATGACAAATATTTCTCATAAGAAAAACCTCAAAATAGGATTCAAACGAAACTGCCATGGGTCATCATCATTAGGAAGACAAATCAAGGCATATCTCTGGAATATCTCATGATATCAGGATGATCCAGAGATCAAACTATAGCTTAAAAAGCAGGAATTTGAAATGTGCTGTGTTTTTTTTTTTTTTTTTGACTTAATCCTTGGTTTGATGTGACGGGTCACTAATAAGATGTTTCTACTGAACAAAAGCATTTAGTGTCTTTAACAAAGGAAGTCTTACTGGTCAGAGATGCTTTCCAGACTTAAATTGCTGCTCGGTCTCTTCAATAACATGGGTGGCCGAGCCTGCAGAAATAAAGAAACATTAAAAAAAAAAAAAAACTGCCAACATGAGTAACTTTTTAAATCAGTTCCAATATCTAAGATTTGTTAGCAGATCATGAGTATTTGTCCTTCTTTTCATTAAGAGTGTGAGTTTTTGTTTTGTGTGCTTATGTCAGGAACTCCAAATAACCGTACGACACTTAGCATGAAACGCAAATAAACTTTACAAACTGGATTAAGAATGGCAGCAATTCACTTTGGTCTTTGCTGATTTCAGACTAGTTGTTAACTTGCAAGTTCTGTCAGATTATTTCTCCAAACCGAGGCCAACCCACAGCAGGTAATATATTGTTTATTACACTTCCACCAAACACCACTTCAGAATTACATAAATATTTATCTATTGTAAACCTTTCACAGGATGTATTTCATCCTTCAAACTAAAACACTCTTACAGAAGAAACTATTTGTCTTTAAATGTAAAATGTAGGGAGCAAAAAAAGTTTATAATTTTACTGCGTGGCCTGTAGAGTCCTCTGCAGGGGTTCAAGCACATGACTGACATTAAAACAGTAAACAAAACAAAAAAGGTATCCCAGAGGCACATACGTACATCCACAAATAACAGTCTGTACTATAACTTCATTGTGTTCTCTGCACACAGATGACTGCAGGAGATCTGATCAACAACTTTAACATTCTGATACCATTGTGAGTTTTACCAAAGCTGAGAGGCAGTTTATTTGTCAGACTCATGTTTTCTTGGTGTGGTGTAGGGAAACCGGCGTCAGTCTGAACACTTCAATAACAAAGGAGCTGAGAATTCGGGGCTCCGCCACAGGAAGCCCGTTCTTGAAAAGCTGAGATAAGGCTCGGAGGGAGACCCAATATTTAGACAGATTAAGGAGGAGACAATGCACATGTGAGGCAGGACTCATGGACTGTAAAGATCTTAGATGTCAGACCAGGTCAAAACAGGAACAAAGGAACACCGTCTTTAGTTAAAGTCCTACCAGGCCACATACACATTGTGAACTTATAAGTTATATGGAAATTACAAAACTTTTTTGAATTTGATTAGATTTATTTTTCCTCAACAAACAATATAAGAATGTAACAATATAATTTCCTTTAAATGGATCCATGATTAGTTGTAACATTAGACTTTATATAATAAACATATATTTTAACTGTAAAATAAAGACTGTAAAAATACTGTAGGATGTTTGGTTTTGTAAATTTTTTCAAATATATTTCAACACAGACGGAGCCATTTTATTTACACACAAAGCATTCTGGGTAAATGATGATGTGGATAGGTCCTCAGTGTGAGTGAGCTATATCCTCCCTGAAGGTTAATCTTGGACAATATCTGATGATCG